CTCAACATGAAAATCACTTTGCAAATGGACTATTCAAAACAAATACTCAATATATTCATGGACATATCTTTATTTTAGTTTATTTAAAATATGATTTTTTGAATGTGAAAGACTTATAATGGTAACTGAAAGACTGCCAAATTTTGTGAAGATACACACACTATATTGAAAGTTAGAAATATTAAATCTATAAAGACTAAACGAGTAGAAAGAAGTCACATGGTCAGTCAAATTGACCAAGCCCCGTGAAAGTTAAAACTGATTCTCTCAATTAAACTACATAACCTCCTTAAACAGCATATGGAATGGATGCTTCAGAATAGCTGAATATTTCAAGCACTAACAGCCAGTCCTTTTTCCTGGTACTGTATGTTGAAAGTTTTCAAGTAACAAGTATTTTCACCAGATTCTTACTGTCAGAAACTACTTTTTAATAGTGTATATATAGTAATATAAATATATGGGTGTATTGGGCTAAGGATTCTTCTACATTAGATATCTGTGACTTATTGGCAATAAATTCAACAATAAACAAACAGTATGCACTGCACTTGGTTTTAAAATAATATATATATTTGAAACAAGTTAAACGCATGTACAAAAAATTCTTCACACTATGGAGATCATAGTTGTATCTTAAACACTATACATTTCTCTTCTTCTTTTCAAAAGCCCATTTAGGCCAATTCAATTGCTTTAGAATTCAGTTGACAAGCTGAACTATTTTCTCTATTTTTATTGCAATAGTATCCTTGTATAATTCACTTATGCTGTTGTGTGAGTTACCACAGTTCTTTCCTGAACTTCCAATAATTTTCTTCTTTTCGTACTTCCAATAATCGTCTGCTTTTTATCAAAGTCTACACAGGCAGGTTCGATTAGCTTAGAACACCCTTTGATGAGACAAATTATTTTCTTTATCTCTTTCAAACTCACTCTAACATATCAACCATTAGGCTATTCACTGTCACGATGGTTAACTTTACATTTTCTAACTTTTCTCTAACCGAACTTCTTTTATGCATGACTACTATTACTGTGTTTCCACTCTTCTGGTCACAGCTATTTATGCATCTATCACTTTGGCCTTCTAGAAATCTCCATAGCCTCGACATCAGTGGATTGTAAACACAATGTTCAATAGCCTCGACATCATTGAATTACAAACACAAAATAAATTATTAATAATACTACCTACACTAAACAGTCTTTTATATCTGACACTTACTATAATTCTTTGTATACCTGGCTAAAAGTTACTGTTTGCATGTGCTACTTTTTTTTTTCAAAAATATGCTTTTTTTTATTTGTTTTCAGAAAGGTCTCAGTGATTACACTTTCCTTCCATTTACTGCTCTTCTTGCTATTTTTTGGACCTTCACTTATAAGAAAGTTCCTGAAACAAGAAATAAGACATTTGAAGAAATCTCAGCTCTGTTTAGGAGGGATGAAGTCCTTAATGCTAATGGCATGAACATAGACACAACTAGCAGATACAGATCCACTGAAGGACCAGTTGCAGAGGAGAAGTCTGTTGAGTCATGTAAGACCAAGCTCTAAAGTGATATCTTCCATCCACCTTACCAATACACTAGTGCCACCTTTTGAGAAACGTTTTATATGAATTCTTTATTTACAATATTACTTACTCTATTTTAAAGTTGAAGTAAAAAAGTTGGCATACTTGTTTGCATTGATAATCATGCACCATAAAAATGTGAATTAGGAAACAAAGCATAATGTATGTGAGGATGCTATAGATGTGAATACTCTTTAGAAAACAGCACGAATGTGGTGGAGGCCAAGAAAAAGCAAAACAAAGGACAGGAATCTATGGTAGCTATTATCAAACCAGACTTATTATGACTTGATCTGAATTTAGAAAAATGTAATGTTTACTCCATAAAATGAAATTAGATTTAATTTTTTTTATATGAATTAGTAAGAAATAAAATTATAAGCCTTGAATGTTAATCAAAAAGTGGCATTACTTGATATCTAAAGATCAAGTCTACATATTTCCAGTAAATCATGTGTGTGTTTTAGTTTGAAACAACACTTTTAATAGTACATTCAAGTGTATTTCAGTTAAATACAAAACTCTGCAACTCACAAAAATCAAAGATTCTCAAAAATACCTTAGCATTTATTTATTCATTTAAAAGAACTTTTAGGTTCTGGGTAATGATTTAGTTAATAAAGCATAACAAGCTCCATTAAATTTTAGTTCTTTGGAAATGTTTGCAACTGCTAATTCAAACCTTCATCAAGTCACGACTTGTACAAACTTTTCACAAGGTTACTACAATTGGGTGATTTTTATCACATTGTCCTACATTTTATTTGTTTTATATATATTTTTATAATGTCATTTTTATGGATGATACATCATTCTTACTGTCACTTGAAACATACTTGTAACTTTCAAGTGAATATTAACACATTTGAAAAGTTATGGCATTTAATTTTATATTCTGATTTGCGACGAATTTAAATATAAATGATAAAACTGTAGTAGATTGTCATCATGTTTTTCATACTTGATAATGATCAAGACATTAGGAAGGGTTTGCATACATTGACACTGGATTCAAGTTGCTTTATATCAGATATATTACACATTAGATGATGAGAATATAAGCTTGTCGTAACGTTATACATTTGTAATAAAGTTTCTTTCACTACTCATTCAAGCTGTTTCCAAACTTTATATTACACGTTTATTTTGAACCAGTGATTAAAAAAAGACAAACTGTTAATTCTTGTTTATAAAGGTTACATTAATTAACTTATGTCTATAAAAGGTTTTTTTATCCAAGTTTAAATAGACTAGAAATTGCTGAAACTGCTAGAAGAGGGAAATAATTTCACACAAATTATTACTAGTATTTAGGGCCTTTGGTGAGCAATATCTAATTGGCTGTAAGATTTTATTTGCATATTATAAATATAGCCTATTAATGGAATTTCAAAATCAACAGTCCCCACTATCTTGTGGTGCAGTAGTAAGCTTTAGGGCTTATAATGCTAAAATGTATTATTTGATCCCTGTTTTATGCACATAATACAGGTACTCCATTGTACAGCTAATTCTATACCTAATTTAGTGACCTTATTTCTATTGTAGAAGACTGTATGAGGAAGGAAAAGTTCAATTGGTTAAAGCTAGTCTTCTTTCCCTCTATGTCATAAGTAGGAGGAAAATTTTTACTTGGTGAATTTTTGTGATTCTGAGACATTAAAAAAATCAAACTGGTCTTATTAAATTGGAATTCCAAGTCATGTAATAAGTCAATGTGTTTGAGGGCCAATTTAAGATCTTGGAACAATTCTTGCATCTCTTTGGCTAACAAGTTTATAATGATATCATGCCATTGTTTGTAGGCTTTGAAGCATTTTGATTCCTCTTGTAGATTATAACAAAACTTTCTGTCAGGGTTTTAGCTGCCATAGATAAATATTTGAATGTACTGTACATGATGCCTGAAAATATAGTATTATTTTACCTTATCACAGTTTCATTTATTAAAAAAATATAATGTAATGTTCTAGGATACAAATTATGTACAATGGAAAAGGTTGCTATGAAAAATTATTTTTTATTGTAAAAAAATTAGTTAAGAGTGAAACACAGGGTATTTCTCAATAGAGTATCGCATCTCGTTTACCACACAAAGTTTTACTTTGTGTTGGTTCATAAACTCAAGTTATGATGAAAATCATTTTGTCAAAGCATTGACTACATTTTCACATCTTGTATAGCATCTTAAACTTATTTTTATTCTCTGATTTTTGTTTCCTTTTTATCTGTTTGAGTTTTATTAACCTGATATTAGAATATAGCAAATTTAGGTTTTGGAAGATTGTTAACATTGCAACTGTGACAAATTTTCACATTCAGCATAATGGTAATGCTCTACAACAGTTGGTAAACAAAGATATTTGAAATTGTATGATCAGTTAAGATAATCAAAGTATAGTTTGAAATGAAGTAACTTTTGAATTAACATCTTAGTAACATGGCAAATAATTTCAGGTAGCATGCTAAAATTATCATGCTGCTATTAACAGACGTAATACTTATATATGGAAAATGGTGTTCTGTCAATATATTACACATATTCCACTATCACATGTCTAGAAACAAAGGAGGATTGTGGTAATCAACTTAATCACATGTCTAGAAACAAAGGAGGATTGTGGTAATCTACTTAATCACATGTCTAGAAACAAAGGAGGATTGTGGTAATCTACTTAATCACATGTCTAGAAACAAAGGAGGATTGTGGTAATCTACTTAATCACATGTCTAGAAACAAAGGAGGATTGTGGTAATCTACTTAATCACATGTCTAGAAACAAAGGAGGATTGTGGTAATTTACTTAATCACATTGCAATTTACATTTATCCATTATTAATATTTAGCCTTAATTAATGTATTACTACTTGTTTTATTATCCTAGAACTTCATTAAATTGACTAATAAATACAGTACCCATGATTTATTCAGGCTTTCATGAACTGCAAAATATACAGACATTTTATTTTAGATTTACTGTGCTAGCCACATCATTTCTGCAAGGTAGCTGCAAGAATAATGCATATCAGTCAGAGACTTTACTAAAGTTTCATATTGTACTTACTACAACTGTTTACTTGCCTTTGCTAAATGTGTGCTAATTGATGAACTTTGTCGTAACAGATGAGTTGGAGTTGCAATCGAGTTACAAGACAGTACCACATTTTAACGCAAACTAATCATGTTTTGCAGTTGCTTTAGTTATAATAGTTAGAGTAGTTTTTAAGATAACTTCACCTGTCTTGCAATTTTAATGTTGTTGTTTCTCCAGAAACTTGGAGTTTAGACTATATCTATCACCTGAGCACACTATACTATGATTTTTGTACATTTTAGCAAATTTGATAGTTTAATGTTCTAATAGAAAATTGTACAGTTTTAGCTGTTACATAACATTAAGAAGTTAGCTTGATATCAAATGTTTGGCTTCACCATTTTTGGCAAAAATAGTGCTAGATTCCTACCATATTTTTCTTACATAAGACATGAAAATTTAAGATTAAAACTCAGCTGATAAATATAATTTGTTTCTAGCTGCTAATAAGCAGTTTGTAAAGTCTGCCAACAAACATATGTAATAAGGAGCAGAAAATAAAATCAACATCAAATCTGATAAATATGTGTATAAATATATTCCAAATATTTGTTTGGTCAAGGCCAAAAATAATGTAATCAAAACACACATCTTTAGGTTAAGACTTTTAGAAAGGAAAAAATAAATTTGTGAGGCAGTTTTTTTTTTGCTAGCAGATGTAAATTTTATATCTTCTAATCAAGTATTGTTATATATACAGTAAAGTTCATAAGCATTCTTGTGGAAAGTTTATTCACTTCCAAATTTTAAGTCTTAATATTTTTTAACACATTCTTGAGTACTGCTAGAAAATAACACATACTTAGTAGAATTTGATTGACACAACCCATTTTTGTGAAATATAATTAGTAGTTTTTATCCCAAGTAAGACTTTGAATCCATAAGAATTTCCTTAATTTTTCTAAATAATGACCATGTCACATTTAATTTAATTTTATATGGTACTCATTCTTTGTTTAATTATTCAGATCTTTGTAAGAATAAACTGTGTTCTCAACCTGAGTTCATGATTGAAAGAAAAGCATAATCAAAAGACAATTAAAATTTTATTTTGCTTGATTTAACATCCAGGGTTTTAAGTAATGAAGTTCTCCTAAATTATTAACAATTTTATTTGACCTTAGTATTATAGTTCCTACTTTCTTGCTAAGTTTTACCCTGATATTTTTTTTCTTACAACTATGAAAACCATCTAGCAATTAAAATGAAAATGCAGGTTTAGATTGCTTGAAAATTTCAGTATAAGTTTGAAATCAGAGGGATATAATTTTATATCTTGTATTTGTTTTTATTTAAATTGACTAAGGAATAACATATTTTAGAAAATTCATGATATGTATAAAGATAATTAACTGAATCTTAAAATTGCATTATTTCAAATGCATGTCCAGTTATCAGTCTGTGGTAACTGCTAGTAGTGGAGAATACTTGCTTTTTGATCTTTGAAATATAACTATTTAATTTAGAATATGGTTTGAATATATATAATGGTAAAGGGATAATGTTAAATATATATATATGGATATGGCTCTCTCACACACAAATAGTAAAGTTATGGTAGTTATTATTTACTTTATTTCATTGCTGAATGTTTTTGTTTATTTTGTTGGAATTATGGAAATTGGGTTTGAATAAATTTCTATTTTGTTAGAATTTTTCTAAACCTGTGTTTTATATAGAAATTTAATTTTACATTTTTCTTAGTACTTGTTTTTTGTACCTACTGATACTTTAAGTATTAAAGAAATATGTGCAAATGAAGAATAATACCACAGTTGTTACACAAGTATTATCAAACAATGAAATTAATACATAAAAAAAATTAGAAATTGTAATTTTTCAATATATTTCTTACTATAAATAAATAAGTTAATTCATAAACTAATACTCAAACATTTAAGGACATATACAGTGATAAGTTTTAAAAAAATCATTAATTTCCAAAATAGTTGAAACCATTACACCTCAGATGTTTTACATGAACTGCTTTACATTATATAGATAATCTTGTTGGTTGTATAATGTTTTTGATTTTCCTTTATTCAACATTATGAACTTGCACTATTAAATATACTCAAAATGTTAACTATGTTTTTTGTTTGTATGTGTGTGGATAGAGTGCTTTACATTTTTAAAATAATCAGTTCAAATTCAGATAAAAATTTATTCATCCCAGTTTGAGGCTACAGAAATTTATGTAAATTCACATTTTGATTATTTATTTAATAAACATCGTATTTATATTTTTTTATTTTTAAAAAAATCTTGATTTTTCAGATTTCTAGGAGTTGATAGACAAGTTTTTAATTTCAAATTAGTTGCTAGTAGTAGTTTTGGTGTTTTTGGAGCAGCTTTTTTGCCTAATCTTTTTTTTTTTACCTTCTATTAAACACATTGATTCATTCCCCAGATGGCACCTTCTCCCAAACTGGTGGTGGACTACCAACTCAGGACCAGCATCTCTAGGCTGCTATTTTCTCCTCTTCCAGATTCCTTTGTCATGGTTTAATTATTATGTTGATTCCAAAAATGGATGATATAATCTAGGTTGTTTATCACATATTTTTCAGAATGGATCAATCCCAGACACTGTAATGTATGTCCTAAACCAATGTACCAAGCCAACAATGCAAAATAATCCTCATACTAATGATATATCTAATGGATAACTAAATAAATGTTTATACAGTGGCTAAACATTGTAACCAATACTGTTAATTAAACCAACATTAAAAAACAAGTGGAATATAATGATCAGACTGATTTTAACTGGGAAATCCTGTATTGTCTGATGCGAAAACAAAAAATGCATGTGTTCCTCAGTTACCATTCTTGTACACCTACACATATAACATTCAGTACTGAATCATGAGCCAGTATCATACTAGTATACAGATACAACAAAACATTTGAAGATGAATTAGTTTATATAAGTAACTAAATGTTTTGCCTTGGTACAAGTGTTAGGTCACTACATCATCAATATCAACATTGTCATTATTTTGTAATTCTAAGAACCCCTGAATAAAAGCAAAGGAGAATAAGTTATATGTCAAATACACTAAATGTGCCAAATCCAATGCTGACTAAGCCTTTAGTACATTTTTGACGCCTGGTTAATTAACTGTTGGGTAGTTTAAGTTGTAAAAAATTACCTTATGAACAGTAGCTAGTGGGCTAACTATGTTAGTTGATGTTGACTGATAGTGATAACTTTTACTGAGGGTGGTGCTGTTTGCCAAGTCTTGTACTCAAATCTTTAATAAAGCGAATATTTGTTGATAGTTAAATATAAAGCTTTTTAAAAAGATGAGCAAAAACTAGCTTTAGCATTGATCAGCTTTACGTTTGTTTGTTTTTTAAGGCCAGTTACACGACTTTCATCATTGCTGGGAAATGGATGAACTCCAGCATACAGAGAAAACAAGGGAGCAAATTCTAAATCATTTGGGAGTTCAGGCCTAAGAAAGGATGTTAAATCTCTTTCTCACGTCCTTCTTGTCATTGGTGTCTCTACTAACAGGTGATTTCGGTATTGTCCATGATAGCTTTGTCAGTGCTTGTGACGCTTGTTATCATAATAATTGAATGCATTTTGATATTGGTGGATTAATACTGGCATGCTTATATTATTACTGCTTGATTAAAAACGACAAATTGATTGGTGGTCATGCTCTTTATAACTAGGTTTCTGAATTTCTAGAAACCTGGTTTGTAAAAATGCGATTGTCAAATAAACGGGGTTTTTTAATGGCCCTAATTATCGTCTATATTGGCAGATGACGTAAGATTTAATTTTCTTGATAAATTACATACCACAATTTGTGTATGAATTAAATTAACTTTTTCTAGCGTAGAACTCGCATAACAAAGGTAATATGTATATTACTGGATTGATATTGCTATGCAAAACTTGTTGCTTCACTTCCCTTTAAATGTGTTAGTAATAAAAAAAAAAAGCAGCATGGCCTCTCGCTAGTATTACTGCACGAAATTAATTGGTAATTAGTGCATGTGGTTGTACATAGCATGAGTTCGAGTTGGTCTGTTACAAGGTATCACTTCAGCTTTATGTGCAAGATTTTGTTGATACAAGTAATTCAATACGTAACTGTTAGTATTATTTAAAAGCTTTTGTATTATTAAAATAAACCACAAAAACAACGTGAGGCTAATTTCTCTTTAAGATATGGATTTTTATATCCATATATTATGAAAAATTTAACGTTGCATTGGTTCAAACTTGGCTCAGTTTTATACTGACGATTGGTAAAATTTCCAACGTACACAACCGTGTATTTCACTTTTCGATAGATGGTAATCCATGTTACGGATTGTTGTTTGTTGTACTACACGTATTTTTCAGATTTCAACTGTAATTCTGTGATGCGTGTGAAGAGACACCTAACAAGTCGATTCCACTCAGTCCATACCACGATATGGAAATTTAAGTTTGAGAATAATCAATGAACATTTATCTTTTGGTAACATATCCATGAATTTCAAAATATTGTTACGCCTCCAGTCGTTAGTTAATTTTCCGTAACTTCGTTCCGACGAAACTTTAGCGACACAAGTCCTTTCTTAAATAAACCTGGTTTATTCTTTCCGAATACAACTTAATTAATACACTTAATTTCAACAGTCGCTCTATAACAACGCTATAACTCACGTCTCACAACTTAGGAGACTTCCCTTTGGTCTTCCTGGGATTATACAACCATACCTTGTCTCCTGGTACAAAGCTGACTTTAGTAGATCTCTTATCATAAGATAGCTTCATCGAATCAGCAGACGTTTTCAAGTTTGAACCTACTTCATGGTGAATATCATCCATTCTTTCCAATAACACTTTCACAAACTCTGACACATTCTCAGGCAACTCTTCGTAAGGTGGGCATCCTTTATGCTTGGGTCCCC